TATTACTATTGACAGACTGACGCACGAACGGACGGACGGACGACGGTCGGGGACATGTATCCTAACATGTATGATCGATGTACTAAATTTGAATGAAAACTGACAAAGCATGTCCAAAATACAACATTTTCTAAAAACAAGATGGCTGCCAGTGGGCCATTTTGAATCGAATCGCTAAACCACTGCATGTGCATATGTCCCAGATAAAGTACTAGGCACATGCAAAGAATGAACGGAATCGGTCCAAGGGATTCTGAGATATGACTCCGGACGGACGCACAGACAGAGACAGAATTATAAGTCCCGTTTTCGGACTTTGTCCGAACGGGGACTAATAACTTGTACGTTGCGTGTATTTGTATGAATGCTATGAATTATAGGCCGCAGATGTAACTTGCATTCCAATTTCTTTTGAGCATTCGACCATTCGCTACTTCTCACTTACATTTAATTGTTAAAGGTGTGTTTTACGAATTATGCCTAATTATTAGATTAAGTTCACGCGTCGGCTGTCAACCATGGTATTGAATAAAACTAGTTGTTACTTGTTGTTCTTGCTTGTATTAAGGTGTATATTTGTCTGTAACTTTCATATTTGAACAGTTTGTTGTTTGGATTTGTTTGTGCTTATTTGGCGAGTTAGTAGTGGGCTAACCTTAAATCTGACTTGTGGGATGAATCTTCTTTGGGACGAATCGACTTTGGGACGAATCGACTGGGCGATTTCACGGCTGGTGGCTCCTTACTTGGGGTTCAAAATTTTAAAAAATGATCATCAAATATTTTTGGGGGACTTATATTTTCATAGAAAAGTCCACCCACACGCTGACTTTCAACGCCAGCAGTTGGACCACCCAAAACGAAAGAAACTATTGCAGAAGCTAATCTAAAATTTTATAGATTTTTTTTCTTGCTGGATTAAAAAGTAGATCGCCTAAAATGTCATTACAATGTCATCCAGCATATCTTTCTCCAAAAAATCATGTTAACGAACCTTGTGCACCAAATACAATTTTTTTTTTCATTTTATTAGTAACAAAAGTATATTCTAAAAGAAGTTTCAAATAAAAATGACGCAACTGCATTGCTTAGTAGCCAATGATCGCGGTATCACAATCCGGTCATGGTGCGTTTCACAATTGTTGATTATTACCTAGTAGTGATTATAATAAGGTGCAAAAAATAAATTTGTTAAATTGTTATGAAATGCAAATAAATTTAAACTTATTTCATCGTAAGCGAATGATTCCGACTGCATTTTAAACACTCTATGCTGTAGTACTAGAAAAGAATATCCGCCATGTTTTGACCTGGGACAGTGTTCTTTGATCTGACAGGTCAAATCTCTAATTAACCAATCAAAATGATGGATGATGCCAACATGTTCAAATTACCATAGCTTATTTAAATATGTTAATGTTATTGAGCGTAGCACGGAAGAGGTTTGCCGATGTTGTTGTACGATCTTTTGGCTTGGATTTTAATGGGAAAGTGGCATGATTTGATAAAAAATGTTGTTTTAAAAAAATAAACTGAGCATTTGAAGAATAATTTAACATTTTTTACAGTGATAACAGCTCATTGTCGAAACGAAGCTTACCCATTCACACTAGTGGCAATAAACATCATACTCTTGAATAGACGTCAATGACCACGATGAAACTTTTAGGCATCAGAAAAGATTAAAATAACACCATAAAAAAACTGCCGAAAAATTGCCCTGGGCAATTTCTTGGTTTCACTTTATTTTTTTAAAAACCCAAACTGCCGTTTAACAGCCCAGGGCGAACTTACGGCAGAATCCAGTAGTAGTTCCAGCATGCTTACATTTTAGTAAGCAGGATTTTTTTTATATCAACACATCGCCAGCTGAAAACATCCAAGGGATAGCCAAAATGAACGGGAAACAAGCAATCTAATGGTTGAAATAGCTCTGCTGTCTTTATTAAGTGTCTTCTTCCTGAGATACAATGTATTAACAATTCACCATGGTTATTAGTGTTCCCATATCACAACCATTTAGTTTATTTGGTGGTTGCCATGGCAAATTCAATTGTTACCGTTATAAATCACATGGAGGTTAACCCATGGACCCTACAAAACAATTGAGCTGGTGATTTTCAAACCGAAAATAACTTTTTTTTTCAAAAAATGAAGATAACATCACATTGAAGATAACATCACAAAATGAACAGTGAAGCTAAAAATACAATTGGCAGGCGATGTGTTAACTAAAAAAGAAGTGAACATTTTTTTTATAATTAACTTGAAAAGACAACTGAACACCATTTGAACAATCACCATGCCTTAGTGAATGAAAACCATTGGTATACAACTCCACAACCGCTAGTGCGACCTTTGACAAAACACAATAGCTTCCCAGTAACTTGAAAATACATTCTACAATTTACCACCCTACATCAGCTGATGTTATTTTTGAAATATATTTCGGCAATGACTAATATACTGTACTTTCCAGATCATAAGCCCAGTGGTCTCAACATGTAAAATCAGGAAAGGTAAATGTAAAGGGTGAAAAGATGAAGATTGTTTTTTGTTGAACACTGTAACCATGTTACCCATATGATAATTTTCATGCATATGTTTTTGGAAAAAATTTAATTGTGAAATGAGTTTCATCATCATTGATTTCTACAGCACTTTCACAATAAAGAAACAAAAATTTCACACAAAGTATGCACATTTTATTACAGTATAACATGTACCATCTGAATTTATGGTGAAAAATGCAGAAGTTAATTACCGCAATGTTAAAATACGATCTGTTAGCAGTGATATCAACAACAAAAGTTTGTTTGTTTTTAAACTGGTGATTTGCAATTTTTTAAAGATAAACTGAGTATGGAAATATTTAATACCTTTCACGCCGTCAACAGGTCACGTTAAAGCGTCCATACCTCATTCATGGTAGTTATTGTGGACACTTATTATTAAGTAAAATGCTGTACAATTACCAGCTTTCATGATGGTCAATTTTTTGGTGTTTTGGGATATGGATTATTTCAGTATTGCAACATAGGGTTCATGCTGAATAATAAAATAACAAATAGAGTGTGTTTGCATTGCATTTGTTTGCTATTCAAATTCAAATCAAATTTATGTGAGTTGTAAAAGCATGAATTAAACAGCCTTTTTCAGGGCCACCATACCGTCCATACCAAAAACGAATTCCATGCAACGAAACACAATTTTTACACACACTTTAATAAACTACATATTCATTTTTAGGAATAAACTCATTGTCAATGCCGATTAAAAAGACAGCCTGGGCTTATGTAACTAGGTATGCCCTCAACTCGTTAAAAATAAGGGGTGGGCTTATACCCAGGGAGGGAAGAAAACATCTTTTTTGGATTTTAATGCAAAGGTCATCAGAGGGTAAAGTTTTATAAATATTTGATAAATTTTGATAACAAATGATCAGCTCTCTTTAAAATGATTATAACATTGTTCATTTCATTAATTACATAAATTAGACGAATACAAACACTTTTGATATAAGACAACCAATAAATCACTGACCTGCTCTACAACAGATTGTAAGCATTTCACTGCAGTACTTTTCTTGAAGTCTTCGACATCTAAACTTTTTGGTCTCTTCACATTCTTGCCTTTCCCAGACTTACAAATATCCTTACCAGGACGCTGCAGGGTGTTTTCACCTGGTGACTGCAGCAACTCTCTTTCCACATCAAGGTTGTCTTGCTGCAAGATACTAAGTATGTATCTGGTATAGATCATGGCGTCAATACCTCTGACCTCAAGTTCATGACCCAACCAACTCTGCAATGATGGCAATGTGTATAAAGCCATTTTAAAGATTCAAGAAACTTTTCACTCGCTGACACTGTCAAGTTACTCGATGTGTAGAAGTCAAACAGTCACCAGTAAAACATATTTATACCATTACTGTGAAGGAGTGAAGCCCTATGGGATGATGACAGACCAGTGAAGGAGACAAACTCCATTTTTATCTTAATTTACCACATGATTCTGGTAGTAGTCCACTTCTATTCAATACAGTTAACGACAAGAATGTAATGCCACTCATGATATTGGTAGGACACAACATTAGTACTGGTTTTGTTGCACACTAATCTGAAATATAACAAGAAAATGTAAAGAAATCACAAATGTGAAAAAAGGCTATCACACTTGATTACAAGTATAGAGTTAAAAGGCAGTGGTAGATTGTACAGCACAGTGTTTAATTTCATGTAAAGAAGAAACACATTATTTTATGTAAGTTGTATTTGTTGCTTGAGACCCATATCAAAACAGGGCATGTCAAGGTAACTACCACTCTTTGAATGCTATTTTAAGCTATGTTCATATCACAATTAAAATAGTTTTACATGATTCTGTCAAATTATTTGAAGTCTGAAATTAGTAGTTACAGAATCCATGAGTTAGACCAAATAAAACAAAGTTGGTATTTCCCGTAACACCACAGGCCAAAACAAATAAAAGAAAGTAGGGCTCTTGTATTTTTTCCCCAATGAGCTGTTTTTTTCTCAGGTTATTGCTCAAACATAATCATAATTTAACCAAAAAATGAAAATGGCATCTACCGGTAATCTATAGTTTTCAAGATGTGTTTAAGGTCTTAATTGTCATTTGCAACATACATGTAGAAGTATATAAAACAAAAAATTACAACATTGATGGAATTACCATAGCTACTTTACATATAAATAAATAATTCTAAGTGATTTGTATAAAATAAACTTTTCATTTCCCCCTATGGATTGATCAGGTTATCGAACACACAGAATATTATTTTCTCTTATGCAGGATCTGGCTGATTAATTTTTTATCTGGACAACCTAATATCCCATCATGCATTGCAGTTTTGAATCCTAGATCAGAATATACTGTAAAATACATTCAGCTGAAATTAATTTTTGCTGAAATCACTTTTTGTGTGTTTTGTATGGAGTTTATTTTCACTGATTTTTGACAAGTTTAATGTAAAATATAGGAAAAATCCATTCACTGGATTTAATTTTTACTGAATCATTCCTTCAGCAAAGCAAAAATAAAGTATTTCACAGTACTCATCATAAATAACATAAAAAGTACAAAATGTTCAAAGTTTACTTGGACGCACTGGCAAGTTAAGAGTCGTCATAAAACTTTAGAAGGAAAAGATCTAAAGGCTCAATTTCACACAAAAACACATAAAAGGCGAGAGGTTATGACAAACAATAAAATCATTGGCCAGAAAATTCTGTGTGTGATTTTGTTGGACAAAATGACAACCTGAGATGGTTAGAACTCAATCACAACTTAATTAATTAATCTTAAAAAAATGCTATTTGCAAAAGTAGCTAGCATAGACCTAAATATCTTGTGTCTGATACAAATCACAAACCACTTCAATACTAGGTCAAAGGCTACAAACGAAATATATCTGACAATAAAACCTTAACTACATAAACTTTGTTTACACTTACATTAGTACGTTTTCTCTTTCTCTGACATAAATAAATATAGTATTATTTTTTCAAAATTTGTTAAATAAAATATACCAAGATGAATTGAAATAAATGTTATGGTGCAACAACATAATAACAATCCATGTATTGTACCCCTAGAAATAGTTTCCATTGTTTGACAGAAATAAAACATCAAAATAAAACTATGGACCAAGTTATTCAGAATTACTGCAACAAATATCAGATGCAAGTATTTTGGGTTGTTACTGATGAAACAAAGTCTACCACAGAAAAATAACAATCAGTGTGGAGTACTTCCATATATAAACTGCTGTCAATCAAAACAAAACAAGTGAAATTAGTTTAATAACATCAGTACATACATGATGTACATCCAGGGTCACCAAAAAAACACCAGTTTTACAACATTTCTAATATTCAAATTATTCATGATTTCAAAAAATGACAAAATTCATGATTTTAAAATTATTTGCACAGTGGCATCCATTTTCAACTGGACACATTTATACTACATGTATTCCATGGGAAAATAAATTGTATACTATAAGAGATTTTGTCAATTTACATTTCAGGATTTCCGCAACTGAAGCCATGCAACCAAAAGATAGTTCTGATTACACGCATACTTTCTATTTAAAGGGAATACTGCAAGCAATACTAACTGTCAGAACAGAAAGACTGTTTTGTACCCCTAACCCTAACTTTCACTATTTCCCAATACAATTGTATGACTCTCCTAAAGACATCTATAGTAATCTAGAAAGTCATATGCAATTGAATTGAGGGGCTGGATGATCGTAGTTTAGGTGGATCGATACAAAGGGAAGAAGCTCCGAGAAGGTATATGACAAGCATAATTTTCGTGGACCAGATAGGGAATGTTGTCAATGGTAAATCCCCTATATATAAAATCAATGTGTTCCTGTACATGTAAAATGCGATTTTCACGTCCTAAAGAAATTCGCGTTCAAGCATAAGATTCGAACATTATTTGTTTGGGCAAAATTGTGGTCGCCAGCTCAAAAACAAATCCGACAACACAACAAGGTACTTACCTGCCAGGTATTTCTGTAACGCGAGACAACAGTCAACGCAACTCAGTTATGTGCCGCAGTCGGTACACGGAAAAAAATAATTGACAGATCAAACACTCCTGGTTTTGATTGTTATATTGCGCTTCGGTAGTAATAATATGCGTCTGCCAAATCACCCTGGAGTCTGTTTGACGTGCGATGGTACTGAAATGAACAAATTCTTTTGCGTTTTTTGGCCTTTGAACTCCATTTGCAAAATTGCGGGTATCACATAGGTTTACGATCAATGCGCATAATAGTGCACGTACGACAATGTTTCGAAGAGTTGCATTATTTCCTACATTATTTAACTAAATAACGTACTTGGATTATTTTTTTAATAATAATTGTACCTGTTTTAATAATGGGAAAAAGTAATGAAATGTGAGTTGGAGTTCAACTCAATTGTGGCGGAAGAACACTGATGTTGCTATACGTTTCTATAAACGGTCACTGCGCAAACGCATTACAGGGGACTCTAAAACCCGGAACCGGATCAGTCCGAATGTGACAATTACTTGAAAATTAGCCTTCATTACGGGGCTGTCGTCAAACAATTCACGTTGTTCATCTATTCAACTCTGATGAGGTGTATTTGAACCATTTGTTTTGTAATAATGTAATATTTTGACCCAAATTGTGTATGTTTACCTCTCTTACACAGCAGGTAGGCGCTAAGCACCAACGCACTTCGCGCGAGGGATGCTGGGAGATTGGTCGGTACTACATTCAAACCCAGACTCTAGCCGAGGTTACGTGCGTTCATCGAATCGGTCATAGAGAGGTTCCCGATAGAGGTCTCACTTATATCGGTATGCATAGAATTCGGGCCATATACCGGAAGACCTTACAATTGCGAAAGTGTCCATGGTTCGTCGGCATTAATATTTTGTTTTTTTAATTTCGTAAATTTAATTTAGCGGATTTTACTTATCAGCGAAATTAAAACCCAGTGAACAAGTAATGCATTTACAGTAATGGGGGCTTAAGTCATGAAAAAAACATCATTTTCCTTTCAATTCCTATTCGTTTGTGATCACCGACGGCTTTGCTTGGAATTGTCAAATCAATGTAACCAAGCACAGTCTCTCTATATAGAGGGACTGTGATCCAAGTCAGTCCATTGTGCCATCTTTTTTGTAAGATGGTAACATCCCTTATATTAAAAGGAAATATTCTAGTCTTACTATTTTGTCATAATTTCAAAATATAAAAGACTAGGTGGATTTACCGGTAATATTTTGTCGTTTTTTAGATTCAATTTTTGTTTTATGTTATATGGTATATTTCAGTGAAACTGTTATCTTTTTCAACAACTTGAGACACACTATTTGAAACTACACATAATTTCAACTTAAAATATTTACAAAAGTTTGATACTCCGGTCTCAAAACATCGACCCTGTTTTATTTTATGATGAAAGGACATTTTGGGTTAAAATTACATTAAAATTTGGAATGTAAGTTGTTCATTCCTGTATAGTTCCTCTGACTATGTATAACAAGTATGCCATACACGCTTTATATTAGGGTTTTAGTAATGTTACCAGAGATGGTGGATTGTTCGAGTTGCGAACATCATGGCGCGAACATAGAAACCACGCTCGCCTTTGTAAAGCCGTGCCAAAATTATAACTCAATATCTACGTTTTTCTATTTTGGGTCAAACTTCTATTTTTGTCTTTTTTCTACAAAACTTATTTTCATATTTGGTGCGTGTCCTCACTCGGATGAGCATGACAATATCTGTAATGTTTTT